AGAAGAGAGATAAGAAAACCACAGCCCATGGGCTGCCTGCTTTTGTAAATAAAATTTTGTTGGAACACAGCCACGTTAATTCATTTTTGCATTGTCTATGGCTGCTTTTGTGCTACAAACACGGACTTGAATTGTTGCAACAGAGACCATACAGCTTGCAAAGCCTAAAATATTTGGTATTTGTCCATTTACAAAAAAAAGTTTCCTGATCCCTGACTTAGAATGTCAGATTGAGAAGCTTATAAATTATTATTTTTGGTTGAGGAGATACAGGAGTATTTTGAGTATGTTTGGCTCCGAGTTTTAGGAAATTTTACAAACATTAATATCTGATTTTTTCTAGAGCAGGACTAGTAGGAGGTAGGAAGGATGGAAAGGGAAGATTCAGGAGTGGAGAGAGATGATGCTGGAGGCCAAGTCAGGGCAGGGATCCACGGGAGTGCTTTGAATGGAGAGTGAACTGACATGTTGCTGATGTGGACAGAACACACCCAGCCTTGGGTGAAATGTCACTAAGGCCTTTCTTTTCAAGGGAATAGGAACCAGGATGCACCAACTCTCACAATGTACCAGGACTTCTGCTGGGTGTTTCCATGTGTACTTTTATTTAATCCCAAAGCAACCTTGTGAGAAAGGACTTCTTATACCCATTTCGAAAAGCAAGAAATCAAGACATGGAAGGGTAAGGTGGTTTGCCTGATGTCATACTCTTAATAAATAAAAGAGCACGGATTTGATCCCACATCTCTCTGATTGCAAAGCTGAATATATTTCCAGTATAGCAAGAAGCTCATATACAATAGTTTATACACCCATTGCCTATGGTAATGTTAAGTCTCCAAGAAAATCTTTGTGTCTCCCTTCCTGTAGAGGATATGGACACTCCAGCTGAGATGGATGCTCTGGTTAGTTCTTCACTGGGTCCTGTAGGTGCCCTCCTGAGGATTCGCCCTGTGAAAGCTGAGGGAGGCTTAATGCATGTCTTGCTCCATCTCCAAGGCTGAGGCATTCTCTGCAGAGCTTGTGGGGTCAGCAGCCTGACTAACCTGGATTCTTTCTGGTGTTTCTGGATGGAGAGCAAAGAAGGGGGTCAGAGAAGAACAGTGGGGGATGGGGGAGAAGGCCGAGAGGGTCCATGAAGTGAATTGATTCTGATGCAACATTGGTTCATGCTTTTATCAAACGTTTCTTAAGTTTCCATTTATTCAATTATCCAACAAATATCGCACTTATTGGTTGCTTTCCACTTCTACTGAACACTCACATGGACCTATGTGGAAAATACTATTATTTTACAGAGAAAGAAGCTCAGTCTCAGAGAGGTTAGGTGCTTCCCCAGGTCACACGGCTGCTGATCATGGTCTCTCTGAGGTCTCCTATGTGCTGGGCACTGGATTACAGGAATGTGCTATTAAAATCAACTTCTCCTCCTGTGTGTGTCTCCTTTACTCTCACACTACTATCACACTCACAACTCTTGTGACACCAGATGTGTGGGGGTGTTTTTCCCCACAGCAAGCAATTCTCTGTGACCCCAGCTGGGTGTCCTACAATTGCAATCAATTCTGACACTCTCTACTTGGAGAGAGCATAGGAATCCACAGGCTAAGGGCTCAGTCCCACAATAGCCGCCCATCCTTGAAATGCCCATCTCAAGTCAAGGTTGTCACCTGTGCTTCTGATCAGCTGACTACAAATTGGAGGTTCCCATGCCCCACTCCTTGTGTTTAATTAATTTGCTAGAGTGGCTCAGAGAATTCAGGAAAACAGTTTACCTACTGTGTACCAGCTTATTATAAAAGGGAATGATAAAGGATACAGATAAACATCCAGACAGAAGAGATGCATAGGGGAAGGTAGGTGGAAAGGGGCAAGGAGCTTTCATGTTCTCTCTGAATGCACTACACTACCAGCACCTCCACATGTACACCAACTTGAAAGCTCCCTAAACCCCATGCTTTTGGGATTTTGTTGGAGGCTTCCTCACATAGGCATGATTAATTATTGACTGCACTACCAACCTCTCTCCCGTCTCTGGAGAAAGGTGTCAGGGATTAAAATCCCCATCGAAAAGCCCACCAGGAGTCACTTCATTAAAAGAAAATTACTGTTCTCACCCAGGAAGTTCAAAGCGGTTTAGGAGTACAACCATTTTCTGCTGCAGACTCGTTTCTCAGCTCTAAATTTACTGGAACATTTCTTGAAGAGTCTTTCCATTTCCTCTCCTCCCATTCTCTCTTTATGTCACTCCAATCAGGATATCTGCCTCTACCAGGCTACCAGATCTGCTTTTGTTAACATCAGCTGTGATACTACTTAGCTAAATTTATTTATTTATTTTTTATTTATTTAGTTTTTATTGTTTTAAAGTTTTTGTTTATTGCAGTAACATTGGTTTATAACATTGTATAAATTTCAAGTGTACATCCTTATACTTCTATTCGTGCATGGATTACATCATGTTCTCATGTTTACCACCCAAATACTAATTACAACCCATCACCACACACATATGCCTAATTATCCCTTTCGTCCTCCTCCCCCT